ATCGTCACACACACACACACACACACTCACGCATCATCCTAATCATCATCATCATCGTCACACACTCCGCCATCATCATCATCATCATCACCTCCAGATGAGATCATATACAAGGAGGGCTATGACGCTTGCTTCAACGTACATTTGTACCCTGTGGGTTGGGCCAAACAGCTGTGCGACCGTTAGTCACGTGATGATGACGTTGGTGACGATGGTGACGATGGTGACGATGGTGACGATGGTGACGATGGTGACGATGATGATTATGATGATCACTTCTCATAGATCATCATTTTTTTTTAATATTTACAATCACCACAGTACCATCACCAATCATAATCGTCATCATCATCTTCTTCATCATCATCATCATCTTCTACTTTTTCATCAGCATGCGGTTTTTTTTGATATTTACAATCATCACCATACCATCACCACCATACCATCAACTTCAACATCATCATCATCATCGTCATTTTCTTCATCATCATCTTCCGCTTCATCAACATCTTCTTCTCTTCTTTTTCATCAGCATGTGGTTTCACGACTTGCTCATGTGAAGGCATAGGTACCTATCTTTCCTACTTATCCGATTGGAGGAACTTTTACGAATGCGTTTGCCCATCACCTGACGTTTTCCACATAGAGTCTCAGTCTTGTTCAGGTACTGTTCATTTCGATGCGACACGATACGATACGCCACTTACGAGACGGTCTATTTGTAGGTACATTTCGATGGGATACTATATCATGGACGATACGCTATATCGGTGAAGTAGGTTACGATTGAAGGGGTTCGCACACTTACACAAGCGTATGTGTATACATACACGCACATTTGCTATGCACGTGCAAGCCACACGCACACACAGACGCACGCACACACACAGGCACACGCACACACACAGACACACGCACACACACAGACACACGCACACAGACACTTTAACAACAACTGAACAGAATTTGAATGGTGCAAAACAATGGCCAGTGACTGCCCGACCGAACTTTGCCTCAGTGCTATTGATTCATATCATTGCGTCCGAGAACCGGGTTACGATGATGATGAAGCTGATGATGATGATGAAGATGATGATGCTGCTGCTGCTGCTGCTGATGATGATGGTGATGATGATGATGGTGGTGGTGGTGATGATGATGGTGATGATGATGATGAAGCTGATGATGATGATGATGATGATGGTGATGATGATGAAAACAGTGCTGTCGTTGAGGATAGTGATGATAAAATGATAACAAAAATCCACAACAACAACAACAACAAACACAACAACAACAACAGAAACAACAACAACAACATTAGCAACAACAACAGCAACAAACACAACAACAACGACAACAACAAACACAACAATCGACCAGTTGTAGAACCAGACCCAACAAATATTTTTCTTCACAAAATCGCCATCGCGGGTGGCAGGCGAGCCCCTCAAGCCGTAGACAACAATATAGAAACCTCTTTCGAATTCTCCGCTGGCGTGTCCAAAATTTCAATCTATCTCCTAGATTATTTCAGCGTGACGAGCGTTAAAGTTAACGATAGTATATCCTGTAAGTTTGTGTGTGTGTGCGTGCGTTTGATGTGCGTCTGAGTGCGTACGTGTGTGTGTATCTGAGTGTGTGTGTGTGTGAGTGTGTAGCTTGTTTTGTTCCTATGTAAATGAAATAGTTTTCTCCAGATAACTTAGTTCACTGATATAATTTCAATCACCTCTCTTAATTAATTACACACGCTGCCACTCAGACTCACACACGCACACACACACAGACACACAAATACACACACAGACACGGACACACACACAGACAGGGACACACACACACGCACACACACACAAAGCAATATCCAGTGTGGAGATAGAGAGCCTATTCGACAATGAGAGTATTCCATGCACTGAACCGACCTTCAACTGCAGTGTCCAGCATTTGTTTGGAAACGCCGTTCATATCACCCTGAGAAGTGCCGGAACATTCGTTGCAAATATTGTCGGTACCGGTTTCGGTAAGTATTTGATAGATTTTGCTGTTGTGTTTATTGTTGTTGTTGTCGTTATAATTTGTTGTTATTATTATTATTTTTGTTGTTGTTGTTGTTATAATTTATTTATTTATTTTTTTATTTATTTTATTTTATTTTCATTATAGAGGACCAAATAAGTTTAAAATAAACTTGTGGAGAGGCCACCCTTAACTAAGTCATTAATAAACATAAAGGTTCAAAGGTTAGAAAATTAAAAAACTAAATTTCGGCGTTCAAATGCATTCAAAAACTATATCGAAATTTTATAAAAATGTTAACTCTAATGAAATATATTCAGATAATACTTCTGAACCAGTCAAATAATCATAATAATAACGGACAGACAAAAACACACACGCACCACACACACGCACCACACACACGCACGCACAACACACCCACACTTCTATTCATATTTAAACAACAGCTATATATTAATGTATATAAATCGTTAGATGGTGGTGTCGGGGTGAAGTAAGTAAAGCTGAGATTGCAACCTTTTTTTGAAGAGTTGCTTGTTTGTTATGTTATGAATGGCATGAGGCACAAATAATTTCCAAATTTTAGGGCCGGTTGTTTTTAAACTTGTAGAGATGAGTTTAAGGCGAGTTTTTACTGAGTAAAAGATAGTGGTGTGTCTAGTTTTGAGAGTTTGAACAGATTCACTGAGTGTAAAAAAGTTAGAAAAAAAGGAGGGAAGTAAATTATTTAAGAATTTGAATACAAAAATAGCTGTAAAATAAATGTATAAACAATTAATCGACAAAATATTATGTTTACTAAAAAAAGAGCTAGTGGGAGAGAAAGGAGCTATTTGTTGTTATTATTGTTGTGTTTCTTATCGAAATTATGTTGTTGCTATTGTTACTATTATTACACACACACACACAAACACACATATACACACACACAAACACATACACACACACAATCACACACATATACATACATATTCACACACACACACACACATACACACACATACATACCCTCACATACACAAACACAAACACACACACATACACACACACACATACAATCACACACCCAAACACACACAATCACACACACACATACAATCACACACACATACACACTCTCACACGCATACATACATACATATACACGCACGCATTTTCAGAACTGATGCACAAATACTTTGTCGGCTGCTTCGTTAATGTGACCATATCTGCAACTACGCATCATATTTCGACGATGGCCCAATGTAATAGAGCCTGCCATGATCACAACTTTTTTTCCTGGAGGGTGATTACAATTTGCTCATCATCATCGTCGTCCTCATTTCATCTTTATATATTTATCGTCTATCATGTATGTGCGTCATCGTCATCATCATCAACGTCGTCTTCATCATCGTCTTCGTCATCATCATCATCGTCTTCGTCATCATCATCATCGTCTTCGTCATCATCATCATCGTCTTCGTCATCATCATCATCGTCTTCGTCATCATCATCATCGTCTTCGTCATCATCATCATCGTCTTCGTCATCATCATCATCGTCTTCGTCATCATCATCATCGTCTTCGTCATTATTATCATCATCAACAACAGGTAAACCTAGAATGCTTGTGTTTATCATTTTTCACCAAAAAATTGGCCATCTACCATTGCCAGAAACCTTGTCATGGCATGTATGCCTTTTGTGGTGGTGATGATGTCTACATTGTCTATAGGGGTAAGTGTGTCTTTTTCTCTCCATGTCTGTCTGTCTGTCTGATCGTTTGTCTAAACAAACAAGAATGTCTATCTGTTGGTTTGTATGTCTGTTTGTTGGTTTGTTTGTCTGTCTGTTGTTTTGTTTGCCTGTCTGATGGTTTGTTTGTCTGTCTGTTGTTTTGTTTGTCTATTTGTTGGTTCGTTTGTCTGTCTGTTTGTTTGTCTGTCTGTTTGCCATTTGTTTGTTTGTCTGATTGCCTGTCTGATTGTTGTAAAATTATGAAAATGCCAGTGAAAAAATACCACGGTGTGAGGTACATAGGCTGCTACAATGACGTCAACATCACCATGTTCTCCTATAGGAAGATTATGGAGTTGACTTTGGAACAATGCTCCCAATTTTGCATGGAAAGGAATTACTACTACTTCGGTATCGAGGTTTGGTTTGTTTGTATACTATTTTGTATTTGTTTGTTCGTATATTTGTATCTGTTTGTATCAGTTTATATACACACGTTTTAGTATGTGTGTACTTTATGAGTTTGTGTAAGATTGGGTTTATATGTATAATCTCGTATAAATTTGTGTACATTTGTATGAAATTGTATCAAAATGTATTAACTTGTATTTGATTTAATTGATTTAAAAATTTTATTTAATCTATATTATTCGGTTGGATAATCATACAGTGCTCATCACTTGTAAGATCACAACAAAGACACCAGCAAATACGAGGTACTTTAAAAACACATACTTCAGTACACAAACTGGTGTGCTTGCTCGTACATCTACAACCAGAGTGCCAGATTACTGAACGAAACGGGCTTCTGCAAGCCGTGCCCTAGTGTTGGCAGTGCCACCGGCCCTCCCAACATGTGTGGGGGGCTGTCCTACATAAGTGTCTATGAAAGTTAGTCACCCTTCAAATCTCATCATCATTTTCATCATTATTATCTTCGTCACCATCATCGTCACCCTTATTGTTTTAAAGTTAGTCACCAAACAAAACCATCATATCGCTATAATCATCTTCATCACCATCATCTTCATCATCATCATCACCTTCATTATCATCACCTTCATCGTCATCATTACCTTCATCATCACCATCTTTATCATCATCACCTTCATCATCATCATCATCTTCATCATCATCATCACCTTCATCATCATCTTCTTCATTATCACCATCACATTCATCATCATCACCTTCATCATCATCAGCATCATCACCGTTGTCACCCCTATTGTTTTACTCTCCCACCCCCCTAAAAAGTTTTGACCGTGAACGTAACTGCTCCCCCCACCCACTGTGAGATACCCGGCGACGATGTCAGGAAGTGTTTCAAATGTGAGCCATCTTGGACGGGCGAGGAATGCACCCAGCCTGGTTAAAATTCATAATTTTTATTATTCAATAATAATAATATCATTGTTGTCGTTATTATTATTATTATTATTATTATTGTTATTATTATTATTATTATTATTATTATTTGTTATTATTTTTATTATTATTATTATCTTAATTTTTTTATTCTTCATTGTCGTTATAAATATCATTCTTCTTCTTCTTCTTCCACTTGTTGTTATTATTAAAATTATTACTATCATCACTACTCATTTTACCTCCAAAATAATTACTCACTACTCATTAACATAATTTATGTCCCCGTGACCTAGTTTGCGAGGGCCACTGCCCCGCCGACCAGCGCTGCCACTACGACGACCTCAACAAATTTGTGGTGACGACATGTTCATGCAAGTACAACTACTACATGAACGAGAACACGGGCACTTGCCATCGTGAGGAGTTTTTCTTCGTCACCATTCCATTTCACCATCGTCATCATCATCATCATCTTAGTAAAATCGTCATCATCATCGTCATTGTCCTCATCATCATCATCATCATCTTTCTATTACAATCGTCATCGTTGGTATTTCATCATCATCATCATCATTTTCATCATCATCATTTTCATCATCATCATTTTCATCATCATCATTTTCATCATCATCATCATCGTCATCGCGGTCGTCATCATCATCATCCCACCACAGCCTTCAAGAAAATCATCACAGCGTCAAAGAACGCCATCTATCGCATGCCACACAAACTCGATGACGGCCCCTTGATCAGTGTTTTTTTCGATTGGTTGCTAGACATCGCTGGTTCGGTTGCGAGTCACAGAACATACACCATAGACATCATTCTTTCACACAAAATTAAATATCTCGTACTTTTTTTCTTTAAACGCAGTTCAAGAAGTTAGACAAAATTTTGTATATTTTTTGGTTTGTATGGGATGGTTTGTGCGTGCGTGCGTGCGTTTGCGGTAGTTTTATTACATCTAGTGTTGCTACTATTTAACAGTATTATTACTTGATAGTACTATAACTCTCACTTAGCACGTATAAACAACAGCACAATGAACAACACCATAGGGTATGACACCTACACAGGAAGCATATCACAAACTAAATGCTCCTTGCCAATCATGCCGAATACAACTTACAACTGCTCTTCTCTGAGGAATGCCGTGGCCTCTTACAAGAGACCGGTGAGGCTGGATTGCCCTGAGGTTCCTAATGTCAAAATACACTGCGTCAGGATCAACATAGACGACACGATGAACATCACTGAAGTGGAAGCTTTTGGCAAAAGTTGGTTTGGCAATTTAGGGCATTTTTGGTTTTTTTGAGGGGCTTTTTGGAAGTGGTAAAGAAATTTGGTGGCTTTGGGTTGTTTGGTAAAGAAATTTGGTGGTTTTGGATGGTTTTAAAGCTGGTAGTGAGATAATTTTGTATTTTTTAATGGTTTCTGAGATGGTTGATAAAAATTTGTTAACGGGATTTTTTACTAGAATAATGGAAAAACACATTGAAAGATTTATACACGTTCATTCATGCAATCGTTTATTTATTCTTTGATCTATTTGTTTGTCCATTCATCTAAACATTTTTTATCCATTCATTCATTAATTCATTCATTAATTCATTCATTATTTCATTCAATTATTTTTTTAAATGTCCATTTAATAATTCATTCATTCATCCATCTATTCTCATCAACACATTCATTTATTCCTTTATCGATTCATTCATTTATTGATCTGCTTACTTATTTGATCATCCATCTAATCATCCATTCATCCACACATTCATTCATTCGTTCATTAATCCCAAAACCAAATTCATCCATCTATCAATCCATCCAAAATCCAACCAACTTGCTCGTTTACGAATCCAGTTACCAGTGAACATGATCGCTATCTCGGTTGCTATTTCGAAACGAAACCGATACCGTCTATAGGATCGATATCGGTATCTTCGATGACGGAATGCATGGAATACTGCGCGGAAAAAAACGAGGCTATCATTGGTTTGACTGTAAGAGGAGTTTTTGAGAACATGTTCAATGAAACGCAAGCCACTGCTACACCACCCTAAATCACTTCATCACGTTATCACGTGATGAAGTGATTATCGCTACACTAACACATTCATTCATTCTTTTATTGATTCATTCATTTATTGATCTGTTCATTTATTTAATCATCCATCTAATCATCCATTCATCCACACATTTATTCATTCATTAATCCAAAAACCAAATTCATCCAACTACCATTGCCAAAACGACTACTACATCAACCACAGCACCTACCACGCACGCTTAAAACAAACAGCCACAGCTTCAAACAAGCCAGCTACAACTGTTTTTGCATCAGTGGCTACTACAGCTACTACATCAACTACACAACCTGAATTTTAAACAGGCCGGCCACGATTATATATGCATTAGTGGCTACTACGGCTACTACATCAACCACAATTTCAAACAAGCAGGCTACAATTGTACATGCACCAGTAGTTACTACAGCTACTACACCAACCACAACACCAATTACAAATAACCACAATTTTAAACAGGCCGGCCACAATTGTACATGCATCAGTGGCTACTACAGCTACTACATCAACCACAGCACCAACCACAAACAACCACAATTTTAAACAGGCCAGCCACAATTGTATATGCATCAGTGGCTACTACAGCTACTACACCAACCACAAACAACTACAATTTTAAACAGGCCGGCCACAATTGTTCGTGTATCAGTGGCTATGACGGCGCCCTCAACACATCAGTCTGCAACCTTACCTGCAGCGACCACTACAGCTTCTGTGGTGGCAGCAGCAAAAGCTCAATCTACTACAGTTAGTAATTATTTTTCTTGTTAGGTAGTATTTTTTCGTTACTGTTATTTGTTGTGTATGTGTGTGTGTGTTTGTTTGACTGTGTGTGTTGCTATTGTTTTTGTTGTGGTGGCACGCTGTTTTTAAGAATAACTACATTAAGAGCAACAACAACAACAACAAAATCGACAACGCCATCAATACAAACGATAACAAAACTACACCACACCACTACCAACAACAACAGCAGCAACAACAAGTTCGACAACGCAAACAACAAAAAAGCAGCAGCAATAACAAAAACATCAACAACAACAACATCAACAACATCATCAACAACAACAACAACATCAACAACATCATCAACAACAACAAAAACATCGACAACAACATCAACAACAACAACAACATCAACAACATCATCAACTACAACAAAAACATCATCAACAGCATCAACAACAACATCAACAACAACAACAAACAACAACAACAGACGATATATTGAATGAGGTTTACCCGGTTTTCGTGATGTGTGCTGCCACCAACCAGATATCAGGACGGGGTTTCACGGTCCATTCCATGAGGCGAGCAGACCTGAAGAGGTGTATGGAGTTCTGCAAAAATGAATTTGCTCTCGCCCTGGCCGTAAGAAATGGTGATGGTGGTGATGGTGGAGGTAGTTGGTGGTAGTGGAGTGTGAGTGGTGGTGGTGGTAGTGGAGTGTGATTGGATGAGGATGGTAGTGTGTGATGGTGAAATTTGGGGGGTGGAACGTGATGAAATAATGATGGTAGAGTGTGATGGTTAAATGTGGTATGGTGGAATGATAATAGTGTGATAGAATATGATGATGATGACACAAACAAACACGTAAACAAACACGCAAACATACAAACACACACACACACACACAAACAAACAAACCAACCAACCAGATGACTGACTGCTACTGCATGAGCATGCAGGACGGAATGACTAACCACAGAGGATCTTGTACACACCAATGTGCCGACTTACCAATGTCGTGTGGCGGCACCAAATTTGCTTCCGTTTATAAAGGTCTGTGACGTCATAGTGATGTGCAGGTCTGTGACGTCATAGTGATGTGTAGGTCTGTGACGTCATAGTGATGTGTAGGTCTGTGACGTAATAGGGATGTGTAGGTCTGTGACGTAATAGGGATGTGAAGGTCTGTGACGTAATAGGGATGTGAAGGTCTGTGACGTAATAGGGATGTGAAGGTCTGTGACGTCATAGTGATGTGTAGGTCTGTGACATAATAGGGATGTGAAGGTCTGTGACGTAATAGGGATGTGAAG